TATGGAGACCGTAGTTAGTGATGCGGTGGGGCAAAGCCACACCAACTAGTATAGAGGAGAGGAGTAAGCTGAACACACTGAGAGGATCACAGAGTTCACAAGCTACTGCAGCCCCCCAGCCCACCCCACCCCACGCCACACACACACACACACACACACACACAGTCCAAGACTCAGGAAAGCAAATAAAAGCCTTTCACTAATATATACTATTCTCTCAGAGCCAGACGTTTTGAATGCTTATTCTGTTTGGTCACATTTGAAAGCTTGGGTGAAGCTTTTTTAACTCTCAAGAATAGGGGCAGAAGAGTGTGTCATTGGCACTGCTGCACAGAAAGAAGATGGGGGTTTGTGGAATGAGATGCCTGCCCTGGAATAGCATTGATCACATCTCACCACCCTTACCTGCCCCCCTATAAGTTATTATAGTGCTGAAAAAAGTCAGCGGATGGATAAATAGATGGGTACGATGAGAGCACAGACTGGTGAAACGAGTAGACAGCAGGATGGATAGCTCGCTAATTTTCCTGAAATAAACTGATGGGAGAGAAGGGCAGCAGATAGCAAGAGGGGACAGAGAGGAGGCAGTTATCTCTAAATATAGTTTCAGTGATGGAAAAGCCACGTTTGGAATGTGTGTGCCTCTATCTGCTAGTGAGTGTCATTTTTTGTCTTCTGTCCCCCCGTATCCACTATTGGCCTCTACCGACAACCACAACAGCAGACGGCCAATTCAATTCAATCTCTGTCTGATTGGAGTTAACAGATCTGATTACCTCTCATAGAAGGCACACACACAAACACGTTCAATGCACACACACTCAAAATACCGCTGTTTGTGCTCTAAGATTCCCCAGGGAAAGATATCTGAGTAAATGGTTGCAGTGATTGTGCCAGATAGACTGGATGTGTGCATAATATCCACACGAAGAAGATAATGTGTTTGCTAATCGCACACCAGAGACAAGCAAACACACACTCTCTCGCACACACACACACACACACACACACACACACACACACACACACACACACACACACACACACACACACACAAAGGCTAACAGCTGCACAGCTATAACCCTTAACCACTCTTTTCATGCTGATGGCTGCCAGCTACACTGTAGAAACACCCTCCCACACATCCTCAGCCAAATCCCATTGTGGGAGAGTCGTGATTTTTTAGAGTTGTGATGACAGTTGACTGCGTGTGTTGACAGCAGCGGAAGTTATTATAACTTGTAATCATATTCTGTGTCACATCATGAAAGACAGAAAAGCATCAGTGAATGTTTTATTTGAACATTTAATGATGTTATGAATACAATACTGCAAACAGAAAAAGAAAACAAACTTTATCATCTGTTGGTCAGAGTGGGCGAAAAAATCCCCAAAATACAAACTTTATTATGTTTAAAAATAGGATTTTAGAAATAAATAATATCCAAATGAGTGCTGGTTACCTGCCAAAGTGGCTATTTGGGTAGACAAGCTTACCAGTCATAGTCACAGTTTACCAACATATTCATTCACAACCCTGATAATGTCCGTACATATTGTAGCAACAATACAGGCTTGATGCCAGCTTTGCAGAGATATGCCAAAATCAGCAGTTTATATAGTGGGATTCCACAATTTTGAGCTGATCTTTATTTCACGCTTTTTGTTTAGTTTTACCAGAATGGAACCGCTGTAGAAACTGAACTTCACGCTGCATCAACTGTGAATAAACACCGCAGACAATTTGCTTTTTCTGCGTTATGCAACTAAACTAAATTAGAGTACTGTAAAATAAAACTCCACTGTCTCTCAGCCTGAGACCAACCTTTGTACCCTGTTTTACTCAGAGATCCTTACAAAGCGGAGCATACGTTCATTAAGTATGCTGTAACGGCTTAAGTGTTATCTGTCATTATATTAATTACACTACATTTGACAAAATGCAGTGTTGTTGAAATCCTACGCTGTGATGCCAGAATGATTTGCTTGCACGGTGAAAGTGTGAAATGTGGTTCAAAGATTCTCCAGAGAAAGGCGTCCACGGTTCATCGTACTTCATTAGCAAGGTGGGCGCTGAGATGTAAAAGTTTTAAGCGGAGACAAACTGTCTGCAGCTGTTGGGCTCTTCAAAAATGTCAAATTTGCTTGCTGTTCTAATTTGACATTCACATAAAAGGTTTTGCGCTGGCAGACTGTCAGCTCCATGTTTTATTGATAATGAAGAATATCTAAATGTGTTTCCTTTTAAAAAACTTGGAGTCATATCCCTTTGCATAAGACGGTCACAAACAGCGCTGCACAACATCCACCCTGCATTATGGACTGCATTATATTGAGAGGTGTTTCTATTTTCTGCCTTCTGCCATTGTTCCAATGTTCCATGTTTTGCAGGGACACAAGTAGACGAGGTGGGAGAGGAAGGAGGCGGGGGCGAGAGAAAATCAGAGAGGGATAGAGAGGTATAGAGATGTAATCTTTATGGTTTTAGTGAGGATTAACCACTATACTTCAAGAATCGAGCCCGACCAACAAGACAGACTGATTCACTGTCAGGGGAAGCAGAGAGCCGCAGTTATTCACCTCAGGTCATGTAAATGCTAAAGGTCAGAGGTTATCTCTGTTTGGTCATGGTAATTCAATAAAAACCTTCTGGTAGAGAAAAAAACTTCTCTTAGAAGAATGACCCCTGAGCTCACCGATGAAACGTAATTGTATGTACAAAAAAAACCCCTACATGCACTCATAGACTCACAGATACACACTGACACACAGACCCAGACACACACCCTGTGATTAATGTGTGACACGCAGCAGTCCCATAGTCCTTTTCATTACATTCTTCACCACAGAACTGTGAAACAAAGGCCTGAGATTAAACAGCTCTCCTTCACATTGACTCATTAGTCTCCCTCACTCTCTCTCTCTCTCTTCGTGATCAGTCTCTTTGCTGCATCTCACTCGTTCAGGGCAAGGTCATTTAGGAGTCAGAGCAGTGGGCGGAGGAGGAGGATGAGAAGGGATATTACAAGAGTGAAAGACTATCCCGGCAGGGATTCTCACCCTAATGATGATCGGCTATTCAGTGGATCTATTTTCGCTGAAATCCAGCTACTCAAAAGAGAGTGAGTGAGACAGTGGGCAAGTGGGCTGGACCAAAACAGAAACATGTGTAGGTACTGTATGTTTCAGGTCATAGACATGAGCACGCTAAAAGGAACATTAGCAAAGTTTCCTATTCCCAGAGCATGCTCGTTGCTTGTGTGTGGTATATGATTGCATTTTGCTTTCATCACCCTGCTGAGTGTGTGTGTGTGTGTGTGTGTGTGTGTGTGTGTGTGTATCTGTGTCTGTCAGGAAGAATGACCCAGATCAGAACAGAGATAGATAAGTACTCTATGTGAGCCCAGCTCAAATTCTACACAACATTAAAAAAAGAGGTGCAGATACAAGATACAAGACAAGGTGAAATGTAGTGTGTGAGTGTGTGAGTGTGTGTCTGTGCGCATTTGTGTGAGAGAGAGAGAGACACACACACACACACACACACACACACACACGTACAGGGGAAGAAGGCAGAGAAGAGAAGCTAAAAACCCTCAAGTCTGAATGCTGAAGGCAAACCATTCATCTTTCCTCTCATATGCTCTTCTGGGCTTCAATCCCAGTCCCAGTGTGTGTGTGTGTGTGTGTGTGTGTGTGTGTGTGTGTCTGCATCTCCCCACATATGGAGAGCAGTCTGAATGATGAACATGATCTCCATTGCAGCAGAACAATACTGTTTCTAAATAGGACATGAGAGGCATTCAGCCTTCCCTCACACACTGCGTATGGGGGAACTGATGCTTGTTTGCAGGGGCTGAAACGCACCGTGTGCAATGAGGCATCTGCTGCAGGTGATAGTGTGTGTGTGTGTGTGTGTGTGTGTGTGTGTGTGTGTGTGTGTGTGTGTGTACACGTGTGTGTGTTTCTGTGTGGTTGTGTGCATCCAATAAGTGTTGTTCCCAACGGTGTTCAGAGTTTTCGCTACATCAATCAGATGCTTATTCAGAGAATGCTAGGCGTCGCTCTCGCAGTTGGGCAGGTGGCACCGAGCAGCTGGGTGATGGCTGCCAGCCTGGCCCCTGGCATCACCTCTGCTCTGAGACCACCCAGGCCTGCTCTCATACACCTGCTAGCTACCTGCCTCTGGAGCTTTTCACACCTGGATCTGTTTGCTTCTCACAACCACAACATCCCCGCACCTGTTTGGTGGCAAGCTACTGTGCCGTAATACCCCCATACCTGTTAATTAGCTATGAACAACAGCAGCCCTGCATTCTGTTGTCTGACCCAAATCCATCATCAAGACACAATTAATAAAGAGAAAAAAGTAGCTGACAAATGTGTGTTTGTGTCTAACAACAGTTTTTTTACCAGTACTAAGGGTACAGCCTTAGAAGGTAATTAGTTTTTGTTATACACTGTTCACAGTAATGTAGCAGTGTGACACATTTTCTGCTTTTGTCAAGAGCAAGTACAACATGGCAGAGGAGGCTGGATGCCTGGATATGTCGGAACATTCTCTATTTTCAATGTTTTGCAATGTAAAGATGAGAATAACGCTGTAATTTGTCTTTAAAGTAAAAAAAATTAAAAATGTGTCCAGGCCAGAATAATATCAGGAAACCTGACAAAGCAATATGATGAAGCACGGGCACACCTATGTGAAACTTGTCTTATTACAGATAAGAATTTCTACACCACTGGTACACAGACTAGGAACGTTTTTCCAACAGCTGGCTCAAACATGGTGCAAGAGGTTGTATCTAGGGTAAGAATCAGTTTTTTTTTTCAGACAAATTCTAACCAAAGTACAAATAACAGGTAAGGATTCAGTCTAATCTAAAAGTAAGTAGTAAAGAGATTTCTTTTCTTTTAGAGTAATAAGGAAACAACTTAGAAGAGTGATAAATAACTTCCTTAACACAGTTTCTGTACAACAGGTGTGAGACTGTACTTACCTTTCCTCTTGGAGTCCCGTCTGACGCTGCTGGGCCTGACCGCTGGCTGTAGCTCTGTCTCTGTTGACATCCTCAGGCTCCAACTGGGCTAGACTCCGCTCCGCTTGGCTCCGCTGGGCTCCGAGGGTCCAGTACACAGCGTCAGTGCCGGCTGTGCGTGCGTGGGCGCCGGGTGTGTGCGTGGAGGCGCCAGGTGTGTGTGTGGGCACACAGGCTCATGGGAGAGGGATGGGCTTTAGCCCTGACACAACATCCCACACACACCCACAGAGAGCTGGGGAGAAAGAGAGGAAGAAAGAGGTTTGCTTCACTTAGGTTGTGTTTACTCTTGGCAGGCAAAACCTTGCAAGAGTTCTCAGCAGGCATGAGAATGAGCTTGTTTCTGATCGGGGGCCTTGAGCACATGTTGCCAATGGTAACGGGGGAGACCTGCTCTACACTTCCTGCTTCCTGTCAATAATGTGTGTCTGCAAGGACACAAGAACAATCCCACCTCTTCAAACCACTTCCTTCTTCAATCATGTTGGTTTAAAAGCACTAATAATTTCCATTAAATTAAAATTCTAAGTAAGTTGCTGTGAACTTGAACTCACTACAACCATGGTGAGAAAGAAACACAATCCATCAGGTTATAAGCAAGCAAACAGTTTAGCCAGACTATCTAAACCACTTCATTTGGAAGTAAAATATGTGCATCAGAAATGTAGGCTATAATTCCTCATCAGACAGGAAAACTGTGTGCACACAACAGTAAGTACTGTAGACCAAAGTTGAACCAGTCTGGCTATAAACTTATATGGATGCTTACAAGGGTTACTGGGTAATAATTTTATTATATCAATAAATAAGTAACCCAGAGGTTTGAAACCTGTCTGATCATCTGTTCCACATCCTTTTTGTCACATGGTGCTCTGTTCCCAGATCTTGGCAATTCACTTAATGGCTAAATGTTATTATTACCAATAGCAAATATGACCAAAATTAATAAGTCAGGTTCTATGAGTCTGTAGTTTTCCTTTAACTCTACTACTTGTTGCCCTTCCTGGGCCCTGTCCAGTGCCTGATGGGCCTCTCTGGCCCCAGCATTCTGTCCCTTCTTCGCCCATCTGCCACTACTTTATTCTGAAGTGCTGACTGGCAGCGACTACTACAACCTAGCAGCCAAAAACACTCAGATCCGCACTCCAACCCCGTCACGTGAATGCATGAAAACACACACAGATTTACATGCACACACAAATGCAGACAAACTCCTTTCTTACGCAGAGACGCTGAAGTACAAAGACAGCAGGAGACAGCTGCAAGTTGACAAGCCGAATAATGAATCTGACTACCTTCTGAGCTGCTCTTCACCTCTCCGTAGACTATCAGTCTTGACCTCTCTTTCCCTCACAGTCTCCATCTAACACTGGCTGAGTGCGGACTTGAACAAAACGAAAAGACTGGTGCTTCTTGGAGAAGAGGGAAATCTCTCTTATTCTTTTCCTCCCCCTCTCCACGGTGTTTCTGTGTGAATAGGAGGCCCCTGTGAGCCTCAGGCGAGAACAGATGAATTGAGAGGCTTTTAATTTGCAGCAGACAGAACAGAACAGAGTCCATTTAATTCTGCCAGCAGAGGCCATGTCGGCAAAATGCTGACAATATTCTTTATCTGGTCCAAACACACTGGAAAAGTGTGAGTCACTCCAATTACAGGCATTATCAGCAGCACTGTTCCACCAAATGGATGGAGAGAGAGTGAGTATGAAGAGAGGGGTTAGAGGGAAGAGAAATGAACAGACTGGAAAGAAAGTGAGGGGTGAGGGAACATAGAGTGGGTGAGTAAGATAATGAGCAAGGGGTAAAAGGGGAGAGAAAAAAGCCCAAGGAAGTAAAATCAGAAGAGAAAGGATGGAGTTTGAGTGGCTTCAGCTCTAACCCTGAACATGTCCCCCTCTGTCCCTCTCTTCTCTTTCCTTTTTGTTCTCTGAATTCGTTCTTCTACTGCTAGCTGTGAAGTCTTTCAGGCAGCATCTGGAGCTTGTGTTTAAGAAAGGCAGTCTGTTAATCCTCGACTTGGACCAGAACAGAAGCAGTCTAGAAACCTCCCCCCATTGCCTTTAACCCAGAAAATAACAGCTTATATTCTACAACTACCAAAACCAAGATTCAAAGACATGTTTATGTGGGTTTCACATTGAACGTATAATCCAAAAGAAAAAAGAAAAGATTATGAAATGAGTTTCTAAATCGCTCCTATGAGAGCACAACTCACTTAGTTGAAGAAGTCCAACTCATCCAAGCACTACAAGCACAACAACCACAAGCCCACTAGTCAAAATGAGCAAGATACAAGATACAAGATTCTGAGGCTGAAAATGAAAAATCTACTTCAGCACTGCGCTCTCCAGACTTCTCCAAGGCTCCAGACATATGGTTGTTTCTCCAGAGAGTCGCGGAAGAGTTCTACATCTAAGCTATGGTCCCTGGCGGGGAGAACAGGCTAATTTAAAGCAGTCCATGTCTAGCTTCAGCTGTACAAATTCCCTGCCTCGCACACACACACACACACACACACAGACAACATGAAGGAAGGAGCAGCACCATCAAAAGCCATCGTGAACACTGTAGTGGCGGTTTGACCTGGAATCAGCGCGCAAGCTAAAAGTAGCAGCTGAGCAGGGATGTGAACGTAGCTTAGTGTGTCTGGATTTAGACAGCAATCTGAAGCCACACCAGAGGAGGAGACACGGACTGGAGGAAAGGAGGAGAGAGGAACGAGCAGTAAATTGAACGTCCGTAAATGGGGCACTGCCAACAGGCGTGAGTGGGTGATGTGAGGATCTGCCTGTGTGTGTGTGTGTATGTGCGTGTGTGTGTGTGTGTGTGCGCACTCCACTGTATGTGTGTGTGACTTGATAAACAGGATGCTGCCAAAAGGAGCTTAATGCCCAGAAATCATCTGCAGCTACAGTAAAGTCTGCCAGGCGACAGGAAAGAAAAAAGAAAGAAAGAGAGAAAAGGGAGAAAAGGGAGGAGGTTGCTGCCTCTCTACCCCCTTTCTCTCTCCCACCTCCCACTCTCAGGGTAATTGTGTTCTGTCCATCAGGCTCAGAGTTAGATTAGTGACTCCACTCATTCAGCTCTTCTGCCATCTCAATAATGAATAATCATAGAGACCACCTCTACAGTACATTTCTCACTACCTGAGCTCTGTCCATCTTCTGCCTCCTCCTCCTCCCCCCTTCCCCTTTCACCAACGCCACCTTTGTATCCTGCAGAGGCCTTATCAGTACAACATTTCTCCTCTGAGCTGTACACGTTGATGAATAACCATGCCTGCATGTACCAAAGGTTATCCCGTGTTAAATTCTGCCATGGTTCAGATGTCTTAATGGCAAACAAACAATCTTTCTATTAACTCTATTAACAATCAGACACAATCAAACGCTCCTAGTTTTAGGTGCCCGGATGGCTTATCATAGCATGAAATGTCGACAAAGTTCGCTAGCAAACCAAAGAGAGAAATGTCAATCGAAGACCATTCTATCTGAAAAAAAAAACAAAACAAAGATTTAGCTCAACAGCAAAAAGTAAGGATATAAAATATAGAGACGTACCAGTTTATAATCTGTAGTAGGTAAAATACCACTGAACTTTGGTAGTCTGACCAACTGAGGAAGAAGCGAAGAGTGGCGAAGAGTGAAAGTGAGCGTAACGGATAAGAGCAGAAGAAAGGGTGAAAGCTCAACTAGTGGAGGTTAGAGGACAAGACGCACCAATGGGTGAATGAGTTGATAGACTGTGCCTATGAAAAAATGACCTGAGAATATGAGCTGTGGGTTCACAGTTCAGTGTCACACCCAGATAACCGCTGCATATCACTTCACTTTGTCACATACACAGCCAACAATAAATGAAGTGCAGTGTCATTTATCTTAATCTCACATTTATTAAGAGAGTAGCATAGAACAAAATATGATTGATAGATGGTGATGATTAAATGCAGGGGAACTGCAAAACAGACTGCCCAGGATGGTTTATGATACAGGTGCTAACTAGGGAGGAAAAGCAATCCATGTCATTTCCATAATCGAACCACAGCAATGTTAATGATCAATTACAGATTAATCATTAAAAGCCCATAGCATATAAAGTGATGCTTTACTGTGATGAAAACTTTATTTAAATAATTGGTATGGGCTATGAATCCTAAATTAAATAAAATTTAAAAAATTCTATCACTCTGTCAAGCTGCTGCTCCTTCTCGGCCTGCCTTTCTTCAACAAATAGAAAAACAAAATTCAAAAGATTCACCACAATGATTCTGCTCCAGTAACACATTGTCTTGAGGACAATATAATGAGAATAAACATGCGAGGCACTTAGAACAAATCACAACCCATTCTTGGTTTGCAGTAAAGGGCTATAGTGCCTATGTAGAGAGAGAAATAAAAATCTCCTGGCAACAGACTTAAGACTTATTGGTCCTTGTTTGACAATATGGCTCATCTCTGACCCCTAAGCAGTCTGTTCACTGTAACTCCTTGTTGATAAGAAACTGGTGGATTAGTTTGGCAGGTAATCATATCATATTGGTAAAAGAAGAAGTAGTGACAATGAAACGGTTATATGAAGACATACTGGCACTTCTTAACAGTGATTGATTAATAAATCATCAATTGATCATGAATGATTAACGTTTAGCACAAGATTTAACATGTTTTGTGATAAACTATTAATCATTCCATTTTAGACATGTTTTAAAGTATGTAGAAATACTCTTTACTCATAATACTGTGATTAATACTTGAAATGGTTTTCCTACATAAAAAGAAACGTTAGAGAAAGCGTTAAATATTTCTTAGAGGACATATTGGACAGATTTAGCCATAGCCTGCATGTCTGAGACTCAATCAGACACAGACACAGACTCAGATGAGGTGTCTGTTGTACACATTAGCGGTTGTGAAACATACAATAACATCAGCTACAATGTTACAGTGTGTTCACTTTGTCACATTTTAATGTAGTAAGTAGACAGTTGAAGGAAGCTCCAGGGTCTGAGGCACACTCTACCATGTTTGCAGTCGGAACTTTCACTATGCTCACTATACTAACTCTTGCTCTCTGTAAGTCCGCTCTGCGCTGGGGGTTTCTGGTTTCTTTGTCGTGGCATTTGCTAGACAGCGATTGGCTTTCGAATTTGTTATGTACCAAATCTAGCTTGCTCTGGGGTGAATCTCAGATTTTAAGGAAGAGTACAGACATCTCCCCCCTTCAGTAGAGGAATGT